ACAATTGACGCATACAAGGAATCAACGTTTGACATATTGAAACCTTGGCAAACATCGAAATGCTTGATGAGACCAACACTATGTTTCACAAAAAAGAAAAAAATAAATAAATAAATCGGTATCACGTGTTAATGTATGCTTTCGACAATTTCGCAGGGCAACAAAGCAGAATAGCTGCCAGAGCACAGAGCACATGTTGTGTTGTGTATGGTTAAATGAAATTGGCAGCATGTCTGGGATAGATTTTTCACCCCAAAATAATTCATTTTTGTACCGTTAGCATGAGAAGCTGCAGCCATTTTTGACCACCTGTGAGAAAGGTAGGACCCAAGTTTGAATAGTTAACGGTAGAAAATTTGCTTTTGAGTTATGAAAATCAACAGCAACTTGGGTTTCCTGTGGAACTCGTGAAAATCAATCAAAATCTACGAAGAAAAAACTTTCAAGCACAGAGCACATGTTGTGTTGTGTATGGTTAAATGAAATTGAGTTATGAAAATCAACAGCAACTTGGGTTTCCTGTGGAACTCGGGAACGGCGCCACTCAAAATCAATCAAAATCTACGAAGAAAAAACTTTCAAGCAGGCCCTCAGGTGCTGGCACCACGTCGCCCTAATTTTGTCATTTAGGTGCTGAAATCTTTTACGTAGGAGATCTCAATTATTGTTTAGTTTTTTATGCTTCATTTGCAGTAGAAATGACAAATCTTGATATTATTTTATATTGACAAGAAAGCCTCAATTTTGAATTTGACATTGCCATCTCTTCAATAAATACCAAGAGAAGTAGCTTTCCTGAACATAAAATCTGATTCTAGTTTCCTTGAATTGACCATGGCTAGTTGTGTGCAGCTTTTAGGCGTATCACCGAGCCCATATGTGAACAGGATTCAAATGGCTCTTAACTTAAAGTCCATCGAGTATGAGTTCATTCGAGAGAATCCCCAAGACAAAACTGAGCGCCTTCTTGAAGCCAATCCTATTTTAAAGAAAATCCCAGTTCTTATCCATGATGGCAAACCTATTTGCGAATCCCTCATCATTGTTCAATACATTGATGATGCTTGGAATAATGGTCCATCCTTACTCCCTTCCGACCCCCATGACCGTGCCTTATCCCGGTTCTGGGCTGCTTATATTGATGATAAGGTACAGATTTTTTGTTATTGGTAATTAGTGCACAATCTTGCCGTCGATGATAAAAATTTCTTATTTTTCTTTTTATGATTATTAGTTAATGTACTTTTCTTGCCATGTGAATGGTCGAAAACTTTTAGATCATCTTTTTCAGAATTGGTTAGTGTACTATTGGATTGACTGAATATTTTTTTGATATAAAAAGGATTTTTCGTGTATCATTTTTTGAGGGACTTAGCTTTCAGTTCATTATTATTTCTTGTATTGATCTTGTAACTGGGATTAGGACTTCGTCCCTAAACACAATGCTATGAAGAGAAACTGTTCTCTGGGCTTATTCATTACAAAATGAATTCTATTTAACACACTTGAACTGTTGATTCCAGTGGATTCCACTATACAAGGAGCTTAAAGAGGCATCAACAGAGGAAGCAAGAAAGGACATCATAGAGAGAATATGTGAAGGTTTGGTCTTGTTGGATGAGGCTTTTGTCAAGTGTAGCAAAGGGAAACCCTTTTTTGGTGGAGACAATATTGGTTATCTCGATATTGCACTAGGTTCCTACATGGGATGGCTTAAAGCGACTGAGGAAATAAACGGCATTAAATTTCTTGATCAACACAGGACCCCGAGCTTGGCACAATGGGCGGAGAAATTTTGTTCACACAGTACTTTTAAAGAAGTCGTGCCAAAGACTCAGAAGCTAGTGGAAATTTATAAAATGCTCCAAGGCAGGGGGAAGCCATCTTCTGGTTGATGATGCATAAGATGATTATTGCTGTTTCTTGGAATGTTTGTTTTGAGGAGTTTTCTTTGTGAAAGATAATCTCTATCTTTCTTTAGTTTGCTTCTATTGTGGGTTAACTCAAAATTCAATAAAGTGAAGCAGTTTCATTCTAATAAATTAAGGAACAAATTGTGCGGATGGGCTTCTATTTGTAAAAGAATATGGATAAAGGATTGCATTTGACTGAATATGGATAAAGGATATGGATAAAGGATTGCATTTGACTGAGTGGTATAGAGTCTTATAATTTAATTTTAGTATGCACCAAATGGGTGATTTTATTCGATATTATATCGTTACTTGTTGATGTAAATTATGGATTTTGTCGCTTTATTATCCGTAGACAAATAAAAGCAGCTCACAATGTGGTGGCTTTCTTTTTGCTTGATTGGAATAGGCGTACGTAGTCGGACCACTTGTATTCCTTGTTTTCTTTCGCCAATGATTTGTGGTGACCTGAATTAATTGGAGTTTTTTGTAAAAAAAAAAAATCCTATACTCTCTATACTTGGAGATTTATTGTAGGATATAGACCCAAGCTGATCAAACCATTTTCTTTGCCTAATCAAGCATGCAGTACTAGGTAGCTGGCTTCCGCTACTGCACCTATATATACATACAGTGGTGTTAAATGATAGAAAACTTATAAGTGATTATTGATCCAAAACATCAAAAATCAAACATTACCGAATTAACCATCCATGTTCATATCAATGAGAACATCAAAAGAAAAATGGAAACATACCTTAAACCATAAATTCTGATTCTTTGCATGATTGTTTTCTTTCGCCAATGATTTGTGGTGACCTGAATTAATTGGAGTTTTTTGTAAAAAAAAAAAAAACCCTATACTCTCTATACTTGGAGATTTATTGTAGGATATAGACCCAAGCTGATCAAACCATTTTCTTTGCCTAATCAAGCCTGCAGTACTAGGTAGCTGGCTTCCGCTACTGCACCTATATATACATACAGTGGTGTTAAATGGGTCGAGTCATGACCCTTGAGATATTGTTGCTCTCTCTGTTTCTTCTGCCGACTACAAGCGACAATGTTACATAGAAACAACGGAGATCTCAATGATTGTTTAGTTTTTTATGCTAAATTTGCAGCAGAAAAACCAAATCTTGCTAGTATTTTATATTCACAAGAAAGCCTCAATGTTGAGTCATCTATTGTAACTTTTACCATTGTCCTCTTGTTAGATTGTACTTAATAAATACCAAGAAAATTAGTTTTCCTGTGCATTACATCTGATTCTAGTTTCCTAGAATTGACCATGGCAAGTTGTGTGCAGCTTTTAGGAGCATCGCCGAGTCCATTTGTGAACAGGGTTCAAATGGCTCTTAAATTGAAGTCTATTGAATATGAGTTCATTGAGGAGAATCCCCATGTCAAAAGTGAACGCCTTCTTAAAGCCAATCCTGTTCTGAAGAAAATTCCAGTTCTTATCCGTGATGGCAAATCTATTTGTGAGTCCCTTCTCATTGTTCAATACATTGAGGATGCTTGGAATAATGGTCCCTCCTTACTCCCTTCCGACCCGCACGACGCCTACTTAGCCCGGTTTTGGGCTATCTATATTGATGAGAAGGTATGATTAAGTTTTCCCCTTTATTCTGTAATTTATAATCAAGAACGATGAAGTGTGTGGAGTCCAATGGTGCTAATTATGATGTATACTTAAATATTCTTATGATATATTAAGGATTTTTCTAGGTGGAAGAGAAATATTGCAATCTTTTCTTCGTCATAGTAAAAAACAATAGCGGTAACTTGACATAACTCTCACGTTGAAGGCAAACCACTATAAGTATGTGTTTTATTTAATTTTGTTTCTTTTTTCGTTCTTGTAAATTGGGATTAGGACTTAATTCTATAACCAACGGCAATGCCATAAAGAAAGATAGTTGTAATTAGAGCCTTAGAGGTGTCAAAATGGGTGAGTTGGAAACACTTTGCAAGTACTACCAGTCACAGCACATTTATTTTAATAAATTGAGCCCATCAGGTTGGTCCTCACCTGTGGGTTGAAAAATCTAACCCGGCACAACCAGCCATAATTGGTGGTGTGTGACCAACCCATGAATCGGGCCGAAGTGGGCCGGGCTCATTTCGATCCGATTTTCATATGGTCTGAGCCTGACCGGACCTACTGATATTGACACCACTAGTTGTATTCAAGCATACAAAAAAAAAAAAAAAAAAAATTGGCTCATTTGTTACACAATGAATTCTATTTTGACATACATACTTGAAATGTCAATTTCCAGTGGTTTCCACTATACAAGGAGCTTGGTGCATCGACAGAGGAGGCAAGAAAGGAAACGTTAAACAAAATATTTGAAGGTTCGGTCTTGTTGGAGGAGGCTTTTCTCAAGTCCAGCAAAGGGAAACCTTTTTTTGGTGGAGATAATATTGGTTACCTCGATATTGCACTAGGTTGCTACATGGGATGGCTTAAAGTGACAGAGGAAATGACCGGCATAAAATTTCTTGATCAAAGCAAGACCCCGGGCTTGGCAGAATGGGCGGAGAAATTTTGTTCACATGACGCTTTTAAAGAAGTCGTGCCAGAGACTCAGAAGCTAGTGGAAATTTATAAAGCGGTCCAAGGCAAGGGGAAACCAGCTTCTGGTTGATAATGCATAAGATGATTATTGCTGTTTCTTGGAATGTTTGTTTTTAAGGAGTTTTCATTGTGAAAGATAATCTCTTATCTTTCTTTAACAGAAAATTGAATAAAGTGAAGCAGATTTATTCTACTAAATTAAGGAACAAATTGTTTGATGGGCTTCTATTTGTAAAAAGAATATGGATAAAGGATTGCATGGACTGAATGTGATTCAATTAGAGTGGTGTAGAATCTTAAAATTTGATTTTAGTATGAAACAAATGCAGTGATTTTATTCAATGTTATATCGATACTTGTTAATGAAAGTTGTGAATTTTGTTGCTTTATTGTCCGTGAGAGAAAATATCAAAATTGAGACAGTAGCAAATATCAAAATTAATATGAAGATCTTAAAGAAAACTTGTGATTGTCATATGGAGCTTCAAACAAAGGCAAATTACTTTGGCTGTCGGATTAGTTTGTTTTGCGAAAAATGTAGTTTGAATAACAAGCAATTCAGTATAAGTTGATACCAAACTTCTCAATATTTGATAACTTCAATTTCTTTAGTAACTAAATGTGAAAATTTTCTCGATTTATGAAGGAAATTGGAGTGTAGGCCTTTGAGAACTAACACCGAACTTCAAATTTTAAATACAGAGTTTTCATTATAGTCATTATGAGGGTGACAATTGACACAAACGAGGAATCAACATTGGACCACTCAACAAGCCACCACCATCGCTCCCATTAATCCTCCTCAGCTCAGTCGCCACCTCTCTGGCATCTGGACGATCGGCTTTATCGGTTGCGACGCACCGGAATGCCAATTCCGCCACGGCACTGATCCCCTCCATCGCCTCCCTCTCTACCACTGCTCTCATCCCCGTTATTAACTCCAACAAAACTACCCTAAAGCTGTAAATATCACACTTTTCATTTAACCTGAATGATCTGTAATAATCAGGATCCAAATAGCCCGGTGTACCTTGAGGACCTGTCCACACGCCCTCAAAAGAATCGTTCGATGCCATTAAGGTTTCCGAGCATACTAATAGCCTTGAAAGCCCGAAACTCCGACTTTCACTCTCATATACTTCTCTAACAAAATGTTCGACGAAGTAATATCTCTATGAACTACCGGTGGAACTACTGAAAAGTGAAAGTACTCAATGGCCATGGCGATTTGCAGGGCGATATCGACTATTGTATTCCATGTTAATGCCCCTTTTCTGATACAAACTCTTCTTACCATGGAGATGAATAGATAAAATGCCATTGGGCACATAATCATACACCAAGAGGAGGCCTCTTGGATCACAGCAATAGCCATGAAGCTTGACTAAATTTGGATGATAAGTTGATGACAAAATCAAGATTTCATTGCAAAATGACTTAGTTGAGAATCCCTTAGCTCTAGCAGCTGTTGTGCTATTATGCTTGTGGAGATGTTTTACTACAACAACTCGGCCATCGCAGAGCTGGCCTAAATACAATGAACCAAATCCTCCATCTCCAATTTTGAGCTTCAAGTCGAACCGATTGGTCGAGGACTCAAGCTCTTCGTAGGTGAAAACTGGTGGGGGAAGACTAGCAGAGCAGTGGCGCCGAAGCAAGATTATTGCGGGATCTTCCTCTGCGGCCATTAGTGCTTTTCTTCTTGACCTGAAGAACATATTTCCAATTGAAAAGGCAATTAAGAAACACCCAAACAAGAAAATTATGGATAATATGGCAATTCGATTGGGACTTTGAGGAAATACCTGCAAATGGCTCAAAGAAAAGGCCATAATTCCCATTTGGCCTTTGATAGTTAAATATGTTAAAAAAAAAAAAACCTTAAAGTATAACTTTGGACAAGTGAAAACAAAAAACACCCCCCACTCAGAAAACCAGCCCTCCTTTTTTTTTAGGGGAAATTACACCCACAATTATTTTTAAGTTACCATTTTCAAAAATACAAAATCAACTTTAATAATACATAAATCAGGTTTTAATTAATCATTTTTAAATTAATTTTTATTTAAATCAATCATACACAATTTCAAACCCTAATTATTTCTCTCTCTCTCTCTCTCTCCTTGCCCATTTTCTCCCCTCTCTCTCTATTCCTACCGACACCACCCGCCGACACCATCCCCACTTGAACCACCTCGCGACTCCACCACCACCTCTCTTCTCCCTCAAATCATTGGACCACCACGACAATGTCGCGTCTGTAGCGATGGACATTTATATATGGGCGACGATGGAAAAGTTGCAGTGCTGCAGATCGGGCAGGAGAAGACGAACAAGTGGCTGTTGCTGCAGATCGGAGATGGACATTTTTTTTTTTTGAGTGGTGCAGTGGAGTTGTGTGGTGTTGATTTGGGTGTGGTTGCGGGCGATGGTTGGGGGGGTGTGTGTGCCTGCGGCGGTGGTGGTCGTTGTGTTGACGGTTGGGGCTGTGTTTTCTGTTGTGGATGGGGGCTGTGGTGGTGGTGTTTGGGTAGCGGGGATTATGTTTGGTCGTGGTGTTGACGGTTTGGGCTGTTTTTTCAGTTGTGGATGGGGGCTGTGGTTGTGATGGTGCTTGGGTAGCTGCGATTATGTTAGATTTGGTAATGGATCATGCAGCGACAGCGACAACGTAGTGAAGGTGGTAGTGGGATGGTGGTAGGGAAAATGTTGGTTGCGATGTTTGAAACGATGATTTTGTTGCTGGGAAATGGTGGTGGTGGTGTTGGTGTTGGTGTTGGCGGTAGTGGTGGTACATTTCTGTAGTGTTGGTGTTAGCGGCGGAGACGACGGTGGCGTTGTGTTAGTGGCACTCAAAAATGATTTGTTGATTGTGACCAATAAACTGGTTGGTGTGTACCAATAAATAATAAATTGTAACCAATAAATACTGTGTTGCCTATAAATTTATTAATTTGTGACCAATAAAAGTAATCCGTAACCTATAATTTGATGTTTTGTGACCATAAAATAAGTTGTGTGACTTATAAATTATGTAATTTGTGACCGATGAACTTTTTGTGACTTTTAAATATTTAATTTGTGACCGATGAACGAACCGTGACCTATAAAATTTTTGAATCGTGACCTTAAAATTTTTGACTTGTGACAAAATTGCATATATCTGTGACCTTTATATATTTATTAATAAAACATATAATTAATTAATTAATTCATTCATAAATAAATTTTAATAAAAACCTGATTTTTGAAATTTAAATCATCTATCCTTAATTTTGAAATGGTAATACTTAAAAACCTGATTTATGTATTGTTCTCCCTTTTTTTATTATTAATCCGACTAAGAGTCGACTCACCTTTTTTATTATTCAACCGGCTATTGGGCTAGACATGGGCCATCATTTTTTGTATTTATGATTATTTTGTAATTAAATAATATTTGTATTCTTTAAGTTTAAAAATTTTCTTTTATTCTAATTTTTTTATAAAAAATGAAATAAATAATTTTAAATTGATAATTACAAAATTGAAATATTATTTTTTAACGTGTTAACAAATTCTTTTTTTGCCCTTTGATATTTTAATTAATTTAAAATTCTTTAATTAAATATAATTTGTAAACTAATCTTTCATTTCTCAAATACAATTAAATAAATATATATTGTTTACTTAATTTAAAATTTTCCTTTTATTTTAATTTTTGTATAAAAAATGAAATAAATAATTTTAAA